TTCATGAATAGATATCAAGAACATCAACTTTAAAACTCTTTTAAGATGAATTCACGCTGAAATAAACATGTTTGGCACGTGGGTGAACGAACCCAACGTTATGAAAGCCTCACATTCCTATTTAGGGATCAACCCTTGTCGAAATCCACAAGCTAAACCTTCAAGAACGACGAACTTTGCTCTTTCTCCTCTTTTCTCCTCTTGCGTTCTTTCTCCAACAACCCTAGCGTAAATTTCGAATTGTCTTAACTGAACCAATTCAGTTTAGACCCCAATTTAATTGCTAAAAACGAATTTAATTGATTGGGTGGTGAAAAGACCATAATGTCCTTCTAAAATCCGGATTGGACTTTCCTTATTTGAACAACCCATCTTCCAATGGGCATAACTCACTCATACGAACTTGGAATCACACAAACTTGGCGGCGTTGGAAAGATATTTCCTACCATATCTGGAAACACACCTAACTCATCTTGAGCTAGGAGTTATGGTCGTTTGAAGTTGACTTAAAAAACACAAACTTAACTTAACCAATTTTCCAGATTTTTTTATTATTTCCAAAAATCACGCTTTCTAATTCTAGCTCTTTCTATTTCTTTCAATTTGCGAGATGTTACATAAGAGCAAAATAAATTGTTTTGTTTTTTTTAAAAAGAACTTTTTAAAATTTTAATTAATTTTTTTTTTTTTGAATGGGAGGGTCGACGAGGTGTGGTAAGATAAAAATTTGTAATTTGAGGTTGGAGGAGAGTTTTGGAAAATGTTTTCCTTCATTTTTAAAGGGAATTATTTTCCTTAAATTTGAAGAAACTAAATTGATTTGAAAAACATTTTTCATAACATTTAAACCAACAAAATATATAAAAAAAAATGGAAAACATTCCTTCATACCAAACAATAACATACCCTTAATGAAATTTAAGATGCGAAAGCATATATATAAAAAAATAAAGATAGATGCACAAAGTTTAAAAGTATCATTACACATCTACCTAGATAGAAAGTAGTTAAAAGACAACTAAATTTACAGTCTTGTCTTTCAATCAGAAGAGTTTCAGTAATTCTTTTTCCAGACTTGTAACATATGATATGCTTATAAACAACAATACCCTATAGTATTAAAAGTTGTTATAAGTTGAAATACACGCAAGCTGATGAGAACAAACCATGGTTATCTAAAAACAAAAAAAAAACCTGCCACACACGAAGGGATTATTTATTACATCCCTTTTTCTCTTCTAATGTGAAAATGTTAAGAAAAATCCTCTTTAATCAGTAAGACAAATTCATCAATGATAAAGTTGTAGAGAGACTTTTTTACTTAATTAATAGATAAACACTAAACAGGGACACTTGACAATAATTAATATATAAATAGGGACAATTGATAAAGTAGTAGAGAAGATTTGTTGACTTAATTAATATATACAATTTATATAGAAGAGTTTAGGAAGCAGGTCTTCGTCAATATGTCTGGTCCTTTGATAAGGATAATTTGGTTATTTAATGAAGCAGTTAGAAGTAGGCATCTCTTCGTCGACGTGTTTACTTCAAGCTGAGGGTATTTATGGAGTTTCTGTGCTTTTTTCGTTTTAATTTATTTGTCTTACTTTTTTTTAGTCAGTTGTATATTTGAAAATTACCTAAATATATTATAAATTACAATAATTAACAACTTAAAATATTTAAAAAGATAGATAAAAATTCAGGTGACTCTCGAAATTACGTTGGTGCCATATAAAAGGTAACTTGAAGTTGAATTCTGAAGTATTTTTGAGATTTGAAAAGCCTATCTTCAATAAGTTGTTTTTTCAAAATTTCACTCCAAATCATTCACAAAAATTCAAAACAACTCCAATTTCTGTTCATCTCCAAATACAACTTCAATTTTCATTTTTAAAAAAATAATACTATTATATTTTTTTCCCTTACGGCAACTTCTATATTTCATTTTCACATGACATATTTAAGATTATAAGATTGTCGCATACAGTTTTTTATAGTTATTTTCTTCTTCTTCTTCTTTTTTCAATTTATGTGACACTCTTGTCTTTAAATCACTTACATATCTTTAGTTTAAGATGACAAAATTCAAAAAAAATCTTTATTTTCTTAAACTTCATGTCAAATCAATAAATCAGACAAATAAATTAAAATAAAAGAAATATATTTTAGGCGAAATGACTAGAGGGGGTTGCTCGGATGGTAAGCACCCCTCACTTCCAACCCGAATGTTGCGAGTTCGAGTCACCAAGGGAGCAAAAAGTGGTGGGAGCTCCTAGGGAGGGTGTAAATAAATAAATATATATTAGGCAAAATGATATTATGGACCCTTATAGTTGTATGAGTTTGTATTCTGAACTCTTCTACTTGACCCTTTGTCAACTGAACCCTTAAACTTAATTAAAATGAGACTTTTAAATCCATTCAACCATGTGTGTAGCTCACCCTCTCTTAGATAAATGACATGTCATATCCACGTCACATATATTAATGCCATGTCATAACTATTTTAAAATTATTAACCAAAAATGCTACTCCACAAAAGACAAAAATAATAAGTTTTCTATTTTAAAAAATAAAATAAAATAGTTATTTCTCTCACCTTTCCTTCTCCTTCCTCAACCCACAACCACCATTAACACCATCTCTATTCTCCTTAAAAAAAAATTCTCCTTTAGGCCGTCATTGTCTATTGCTGTGACAAGGCCCTTCAAGTTCTTAGAAATCATAGTTCAATTTTACTCAAAATATTTATAATTGCAAATCTTAATCGTAACCATCTACCATCATTTGAACCACCATAAATCCTTTTTCACCATTGATGCCAATAAATCACCATTAAAATACTTCAATATATCATAATATTTGTACACAATTTTACATAACACATTTCACCTAATTTCACAAAGATATCCAACAATCACTTTTCATCCTTCAAAACTATTGAATCTTTGTCACCTCATGGGTTGTAAATTATCAAAAAAATGAAATGATTATATAGATCTACATCACCAATACATTATCGTTTCTCAGAAAGAGAAAATATGAAGAAAAAAAAAAACAAACAGATAAGTTGGAGAGGGCTGGGAATGGGAAAAAGAGAAAAATAAGGGTTGGTGAGGAAGGAAAAAAAGAAAGAAGTAAAAAAACTATTTTTAATTTTCTTATTTTTGTTTTTTTAAAAAAAAAAATATTTTTAGTCTAAATTTTGATGTTCACGCTCCTTCAACGCGTGATATCACGTATTTGTGCCAACTCAATATTTAAGTTGCCACATAAGCTTGGTCAATGGTCAGAATGACTTAAAATATTGAGTTTAAGGGTTCAGTTGACAAAAAGTCAAGTAGAAGGGTTCATAATATAAACTCGTACAACTATAAGAGTCCATCAGACCATTTTACCTATATTTTATAACAATTCAATTTTATTTTTATAAAGACTTAAAATCTATGAAAATTGGGATGGAGGGAGCACTATATATACATGTTGCCTGACCTAGCGAAAAATATACGCAACTAGCTAGCTAGCTATTTGACACACATCCTTTTCTTTCCTAGTCTGAAAAATTGCACACTACGAAAGTAGTGTCAGCAATGACACTATGGGTTCTTCTCTTGTTTACTATTTTGACAAAAATCAAGTTTGAAAAAAATTTATGGTCGACATGAATAGATTGATTATATCATGTGAAAAGATTATATTAAAGAAAAGTTATTTTTTTTTTTTTGTTGTTTGATAATTCTTTATAAAATTAAGTGTATTTGAAAGTTTTTAATCACAAATATTTACTTACAAAAGGAACATGAAGATATGTATCAAGGGTGCCTTAGAATATTCTATATCTTATTTTTGAACTATGATTTGCTCATTTGGTAAAATAATATAAGAATTGGATTTTTTATTTTTTTTATAGTTTTCACAACTTGTAGAATTTTTATGTTTTTGACTAAAAATAAAACTTAAGAAATTTGAGTTACATATCCAAATTTTAACTTTAACTTTAAATCAATCTGATTTTAAATCAAATTCAAATGAGACCTTAATAGTGTTGTGGAATGTGGAGAAGAGTTGTTGGAGTCTTCTTCACTTAATTAATACATACAATTTAAGAGGAAGAAGGAAAAAACTCTTTAAAATCAACAAGTCTTCGAGTCAAACAACCAATAATGAAGCATTCAAACAAGTGATTATTAATTAGTTGATATTATAATTATTTAAAAATCAATAAAATTATCTAATTAACTTTGTTTATGAAAGAGATTATGATAAAATTGTAAAACATGTAGATCCATGAGACTTATGCCTCACCCCGTACTATATAAAAAGCTTTGCCTCATGCCTCCGCCTTTTAAAACACTGCATTTTTTGTTTCTAACTTTTAAAGAAAAGTCCTCTTTTATCAGCAAGACAACTTCATCAACGTGAGCATGCATGGCCCAAACAGGGACAATTGATAAAGTTGTAGAGAAGACTTGTTGACTTAATTAATATATACAGTTTCACAGAAAAAAAAAATATCTACATGCATCTTCTTGATAGCTATAAATATATATTGCTTAGCCTAGTGAAAAATATAAGCAAATATATACTTTTCACTTGCTAGTCTAAAACATTGCACACCATGAAAGTGTTAGCAATAATAACAGTATGGGTTCTCTTGTTTTTTATTTTGACAAATACCAAGTTTGTTGTTTGTGTAGGGATTTGCAGAGAAAATGAGCAACTAGCGTTGGAGACCTTGAAGAAAGAAGTAGATGATCCCTCAAATATTCTCTCTTCTTGGGTTGTCGGAAAAGATTGTTGTGAATGGGAAGGGGTCGTGTGCAACAATCTCACTCGTCATGTGATTGATCTAAGCATTTCTATTGATAGGTTTGATTGGAGATATCTAAGGATCAATAACCTAGAGTGGTTGACAAGTCTTTCGAGTCTTGAGAACTTGGAGATAGAAAGCGTTGATCTTAGCAAAGCTAATGAATGGCTACAGGTTATTAACATGCTTCCTTCTCTTGTTGATCTTCGTTTATACAATTGTAGTCTTCATCATATAACACCTCTACTTGATCATAAAAAAATTTCTTCACTCAAATCTCTCAATCTTTCTGGGAATTACAACTTTAATTCATCTGTTCCTAAATGGGTTTTCAACCTCCCCAATCTTGTTTCTCTTGACCTAAGTGGCTGTAATTTTACTGGCCCTTTTCCTGACGGTCCAGTTAATTTGACTTCTCTCACAACCTTCAAGGCTTCTAGAAACTCTTTCAACTGTCGTCTACCAAAATGGTTGTTTGATTTGAATAATCTTGAACATCTTGTGCTTTATCGTAGTGGCATTGAAGGTGCGATACAGAGTCAGAGCGGAAACATAACAAAACTTAAGCATCTCGATCTTTCTTTCAATAACCTCAACTCCACTATACCAAATTGGCTCTATGGATGCAAAGATCTAGAATCACTTTTCCTTCGATCAAACCGTCTTGAGGGAACAGTTTCAAGTCTGATTTCAAATTTGAGTTCAATAACTATTATTGACCTTTCTGGTAATATGCTTTCTGGAAAGTTACCGAATGTAATTGGAAAGTTAGGGAAATTAGAACAACTTGATCTCTCAGGAAATCAATTTGAGGGAGATATATCCGAATTAATCAATGTTAGGAGTAATTTCCTTTCGGTGGGATTGAGAAATACTTCTTTAACTTCTTTGAGACTAGATGATAATAAACTCACAGGAGCTCTTCCGGAAAGTGTTGGCCAACTTTCAATGCTAGAACATTTTTCCATCTTTAACAATAGGTTGGAAGGTGTTGTAACAGAAAGTCATTTCTCTAAATTAACACATTTACAATCCTTCTATGCATCTAGAAATAATCTGACTTTAAAAGTGAGTCGAAATTGGACTCCACCTTTTCAAGTCACAGATATTAAAATAGGCGGCTGGAATATAGGCCCGTTGTTTCCAATGTGGCTCCGAACTCAAAAGCAGATAGCACATGTTGACATATCAGATGGTGGAATACAAGGTGAGGTTCCAACTTGGTTTTGGAAATTGTCTTCTCAAATTCAATTTCTCAATCTTTCTCACAACCAATTTGTTGGTGAGGTTCCAATCATCTCGACACCTTCGTGGACAGATGGACATGGAGGTCCTTGGACAATGTGCTTTGGTTCCAACAATTTTAGTGGACCATTGCCCTTGATTTCAACCATTGTAACTGAGCTAGATCTCTCAAACAATTCTTTTTCCAAAGGTTTATCGAATTTTTTGTGTGAAGCAAAGAATGGATCTTACAAATTGGAGATCTTAAATCTCGAGGGAAATGATTTATCAGAAGAAATTCCTGATTGTTGGATGAATTGGCCAGAGTTGAAAGTTTTAATCTTGAGGGACAATAATTTGATTGGAAGCTTACCAAGATCTATGGAGGTTTTGAGTAATTTGTTATCATTAGACTTGCGAAGAAATAGACTTAACGGTCCGTTTCCTTCATCCTTGGAAAACTGCACAAAACTGCATAAAATAGATTTAGCTGAGAATGAGTTTATTGGAAAATTACCATCTTGGTTGGGAATGAGGTTTCCAACCTTAATAGTCCTTATCCTTCGGTCCAATAAATTCGATGGTGAATTGCCTCAAGAACTTTGTCACCTCAAAGATCTTCAGATTTTAGACCTTGCAACAATACATTTGTTGGAATCATACCAAGGTGTATTGGAAATTTCAGTGCAATGGTCAAAGGAAAAACGGAAGTGGATGTTGATTTAAATTATTCCTTTTATTTTGGAACTTTGATAGAGAGTGCAATAGTGATGACTAAAGGAAACATGTACCAGTATGACACAATTTTGGCGTTGTTTACAAGTATGGATATGTCTAGCAATAATCTTTCTGGAGATATTCCTATAAGTGTAACACGTCTTGCAGGATTAAGATCATTTAATCTTTCCAAAAATAACCTAACTGGTAAGATTCCAAATGACATTGGTGACATGAAAGTCTTGGAATCTGTTGATCTTTCAGAAAATCAACTTTATGGTCAAATCCCACAAAGCTTTTCGAGTTTGACCACTTTGGGCTACTTGAATCTATCAGATAACAATTTGTCAGGTATGATACCATTGAGCACTCAACTTCAAAGCTTTAATTCCACGAGTTTTCAAGGAAACAAACTCTGCGGACTTCCACTCTTGGTGAACTGCAGTTCGGATGGTAATATTCCAAATCACAAGCATGAAGATGATGAGAGTGACAAAGATGAAGTAGATTGGTTTTACATTTCAATGGCTATAGGATTTGCACTAAGCTTTTGGGGTGTTTGTGGTTCATTGTTTTTTAAGAGGTCATGGAGACATACTTATTTTCGTTTTCTAGACCGTAGTTGGGAAATGTTGCTTGCAAAGTTACCAATATGTTGAGGGATATGGTTAAGGATATTGCTATCATCAAAAGTTAGTTTGTATGCTTACATTTCTCATGTTGGCAATCATGTTGTTTCATTTTGTATTCAAATGAATGTTTCTTAAGATGTTCAAACAATGTTGTTTCTTTCATAGTTCCAATTTTCTTTTTTCAATCAGAGTTGTGAGACATATGTTAATTTCTTTATTTATAATTTTTTAAGTACTTCATAAAAAAAGTTTTGTACTATAACTATATAAATAATACATCAAACAAAAAAATATCATTTTGAAATTTTTTGACATGACATCATATCGGTCAAAGTTTAATTGAGAATGCCAAAATGGTCCAAATCAACTTATTGAGCCACCTAATAAACTTAAGCGAGTTGGGCCGATCATATCTTTATATGCAAACTTCAAAGTAACAAAAGCTAGCAAGGCCAAGTTCTCTGCTTTGGCTGGACAGAGTACTTCACTTGCTGTCCTTAGAATCTGTGGTGGGGGCATCAACCCGCCCCACACTCACCCTCGTGCAACCGAGCTATTATTCATGATCGAAGGAAGCCTCAAGGTTGACTTAGTGGACACTACTAAGAATCTCTATATATATACTCAAACTCTACAAATTGGTGACATGTTTGTGTTTCAAAAAGGACTAGTGAATTATCGGTACAATGGATGATCGGATTGTGGCTAAGTTTTGATTCATTTGATTTGCCAAAATCTTGGTTATTCTACAATGTAAAAGTGTTTGCTCTTGTGCAAGATGCAACTTGTGAACTCATGTATGTGATTCATTTGATTTGTCACCTTGTTTCTAAGTGATTTTCATTAATTTATTTTTGTGTCAAATCTTAACGGTTAAAACGATAACGATCAATAACTGACAAACCAATAACTGATAAGCCAATATCTTAATGGTTCTATAACGGTTTAGCATCTCTACAAACCGATAACCAATAAGTCAAACTGATATACTTCAAAACATTTCTCGTTCACACTTTAAAAACTCCAAAAAAAATTGTTTTAATAAGAATAAATGAAATTACAAAGAAGAATTAAAAATAAACAAAAGAAAAAGAGTACACCAATACTCAAATTTCAAATGCCAAAGAATCAATGAAGAAGGGGTCTCTAGCCCCCCCCCCCCCCCCCCCAATCCAATACAAAAAAAATGTAACAAAAGTAAACTTTATACAATAAGCAAATAAATTAACAAAAGAAAGATAGAATTTTTCTAATTGAACCCCCCAAAAATGAATGGCTTCTTATTAACAACCCTACATGATTTCCTCACTTCTCCTTGTCCATCAATTAATCCTTCAACTCTACCCAATTTCACCATGGCCTCACCAAACTTAGTGTAAAAATCAGGATCATTAACAATATCATCCACAATATTCTTTGTCAATTCATCCAATGCTATTTGTTGATCAATTTGAAGAACCCCATTTCCCTTTTTAATTTCTTGAAAATATGAGTTATCTACCAAAGATGGAGTCTTCACATCAAGAGGATAAGTGTTATCAAATATTAATGAAATTCTAGGACATTTATCCTTTAATTCAGCCAATAGCCATGGGCTCATGGTTGGATCAGGACCACCAGTTTTATTGAAGTTGTATATTCTATCTTTGAAGAGTGAGCAACGAGCAATTCCAACAGTGTGGCCACCTAGAATTGAAAATAAACAAGTAAACGGTCAATGAAATGAGATGAAAATCTCGAAAGTTCAAATTTCAATAGGTGATTTCTGTCAATCTGTCTAGGTTTTGATGGTCAAAGTTATTCAGTGACCATGTTGGTTAATGGTTACGAGGTAGCATGTACTCATCATAGGGTAGATTCACCAAACAGAGTTATGGATTCAACATAACTCCATATAATTTTGGCGTACATGTTGTATTTATGTTTAAAATTTTATTTAATATTATACTCCCTCCATCCCATTTTATGTGGCACTTTTCGGATTTCGAGATTCAAACAAATCTAACTTTGACCGTAAGTTTTTCATAAATTTTTTAAACATTTTGAATTATCAATTATTGTGACTTATAGTACTTTTTACGTAGTTTACAAATATATAAATTTTATTTCAAAAAAATTGAAGATTTCATGCGCAAATTCTCGAAAAACGAAAAGTGCCACATAAATTGGGACGGAGGGAGTAATTAATTATCTATCTAAAAACGTGGTAACCAAAGAAGATTATGGCTTAAAACCCTTAAATTTAAAATCACATGGCTCTACCTTTGGATTTTTAGTAAAATAGTACAGTATATACTCTAGGTGGATGCAACTCGCAAGCTAGTTTGAGTACCATTGTCATAAAAAGAATATGTAGGATAAGATAAAGGTTGACAAATAAAAACGTTACGTTAAAAAGGAAAGCATCCAAAGGTGTGCCCTAATATGGGCAACATAATGAAATGTGAACCATAAATCCACCACTTTTCAAATCTTAGTAAAAGTAAAAAAGTGTTAGGTATTTTCTAATTTGATCCGTCTCAAATTCACTGAATAGAGTTACTTGGTATATTCACCCTGGTGGGAGATAGTATGTACGTGATAAAATAGTCGAGTTGCACACATGCTACTGGACATCATCCCAATAAAATGAAGGATCGTAAAAAATGTGAAATTACCTAGAAGATAAACCATGTCATATTGAGTAAGATTTTTGCTTGCAAAGAGTTTGATGGAATCAGAAACTGAAATTGTAGCAGCAGGAAGATTAACATTTGAAGCTAAGGAAACATCTCCATCCCTTCGTCCTGTTTCTACATCATACCATTTTCCTCCAGCCTATGACAATTTATAATCAAAACTAACACAAATTAGGATGCATGTATATATATGTCACAAATAATATAATTTAAATGTCTTATTGTATTAAGATCACGAGTTTCAGGAATCTTTAGTTTTTTCTTAACTCCAAAGCCAATCAAATAAGTCATGAAAAAAAAAATGTTACTCTTTAGTTTGACTGGGCATGGAGTTTAAGAAACTAAATGATCCGTTTGAATCTTGTCATCTTAGATTAATGATGTGTGTAGTCCATTTACATCTTGTGATCTCAAACTTGTCATATAAAATATTGAAACTGAAAAACTTACTAAATATAGAAAGAAACACTCTTTTTGAGACAGATTAAAAATGCTACCATTGAAGAAATAGAGAAAATTACTAATTAATCCCACCCATGTTTTACCTGATCCAATCTAGTCAAAGGTCTTCTATCCTTGTTGAGAATTATAGTTTTTTTTAAAAAAAATAAAGTGACCCAATCCCTTCTCAACCTAGGTCAAAGGTCTTCTCAGTTTTTTTAATAGAATTAAGTTCGTTACAGTTAACAAATCAGCCTCACATCATATCGATAACGATTAAAGAACTTAATTATAGTAGTAAAATAGAAAATCTCAAATGATATATGGAAGTAATAATGATGAAATAAAATGTAAAATTTACCAAGACAATAGCATCTCTAGTTGCCATAGAAATAATGTCAGCACAAGAAATTAGGCCTTGACATTCTGCTTCTAAAGCTTCTTTAATAGCATCAATGAGTCCATCCAATAGAATTGATGCATCACAACCCTATTCATCATGTACATATAGCAATAATATTATTCAATGATAATAAAAAATTGTACCACAAATATTTCATAAAGAGCATTCTTTTTTCACAATACCAAAATTTTATGGGTTTGGTTCATGAGCAAAATAAGAAAAGTCAAAAGGAAATTATCATAAATTTTTTTTATGTTACCCTTTATGACATAATTTATATGAATGTTATCCTTAATTTTATCACATGAAACACTAATAATACTTCATGTTTATAGTATTGGTGCAGTTCTAGTCCGCCCTCAAACTTGTCTTTACTTTTTGAGATCGAAAGGCCCATTAAGTAAGATTTCATGTGCAACAATACAAATAAAGGTAAATTCTTGATTTAATTAGCTACAATGATGTTTGGGCTAAAAAAGATAGGATTTAGCCACGGACATGTTTTATAGCAAAACAACAAAATTTATCATTACTCTTACTCAACGATCAATTTATGTTAGCTACAAGTGAATTAGTGACGAAGTTCGCAGCTAAATTCAGTTTTCTTAATAGAACACTCTTCTTCTCATCTTCCCTCATAGAGTTCTTGTTTCTACCAAATATAGAGGAGGAATGAACATTCCATACTCTAAATTGTGGACAAAACTAATGTTAAAAATAGACGAAAGTTTAAGAGGACCAAAAGTGCATCAATATTACAAACAAGAGTGACAATTATATTAGTGTTCCACGTGAAAAGGGAATAAGAATGATCTATTTTGGGCCTTTTCTCCATAAAAATATCGTTATAGGTTT